CTTCCTTGGCCTGAAGTGATATGAGCGCCGCACCTCATAGTCATCTTTGACTGGACCTAACCGTCCAGGGGTCCTTTACCTTTACATTTATCACACTAGCAGAAACTCTTGTGGGAAACATACATATTTCTCCACAATTTTCCCCTCCCCAACTGTAACTTCACCTGAAATCTCCCGCTGCCCTAGTTCAGCTTTGAAAAAAAGACTTTCTATTGGCTAAAGAATTCTTCTTTCAAGCATGGGGAATGCGCGAATATGTCAGTTTCAGTTGCTCTCAGTTGCTCATTTTTCAAATCTTAAGTTTAATTTTCTACATATTGATATCATTCTGTGAATGTTTTCTTTTTTTAAAAGTCATCATGAAGATTTACCAGTATTTTAGTGCAAATTTCTTCCAATATACACATATTTATATACAGTTTTTCCTCATATACATATTTTTACACAGCAATTTCCCATACTATAGTGCAGTTTTGTATCTTACGTTCAGTATTATATGCATTTATATTCACTCTTTACCTTAGTATTTACATTTTTTTGCATTATTTGGCTAGAGAACTGCATTGCAAAATCCAGAGAAGTGCCGATTTCAAAATGGCTGTGTTTCTGTTCATGTACTGTTTGGGAAATGTGAAAATTAGGCCAGTTAGCCTTTAAATGTGAATTGAACCAAATTTCTAATGCATTCCTATTGCAGTCTAATTTCAGGAGGGAGTGAGGAACGGTCACCAGGAAGAGCCCCTGTGTCCACATGTGTACGCACTTTTACACCTACCTTTGTACACATGTGACCCATGTACCAGCAACCAGGAGGGCCCAAGTGCTTGGAAATGTCTCCTGCATAAAACCGATTAAAATTAATAGAATCATCACAACTCCTATTCATGTTAATGGAACTTGTGCAGGAGAATGTCCTGGCCAGTCGTAACCAAAGTCTGGAGCAGCAATGCGAGGAAGGGAGATGTGTGCATGGCATGGGATAATAAAGAGGTAGCTTCTTTGTTTGACAAAATCCTCTCTTTTTTTTATGCACACCAACCAGATGGCTGTTTCAGTTTGAGTGAGGCTGTGATCCAGGCAATATGGCAAAATTAAGGGAAAAAAGCAGCAACCTTTCTCTTCCTATCTCTCCTCCCCAACCTCCTTCACATATTAAATCTATACACAGAGATAATGATACACTTAACCCTTCAATAACTAAGGCAGAATGTGGCTATAATGGTTATTGGACAATGACCTGTTTGCTTTAGATGTAGCTAGACAAACTAAGAGGCTGGGACTAACGCAAAAATCAAAAGGAATTAGAATAATGAAAGGAGGCGTGATAAATAGTGGCAATCGGAATTCGAGACAGTACATCGGGGTAATTTGGCTTCGACTGCAATTTAGAAACAGATTGACAAATGTTTGCTAAGATTCTCCATATTGCTGAGAGCGTGCTTTTTTTTTTTGGTGGGTCTCTGTTAACTGATTGACAGTGGGTTCAGGACAGTCAAAAGAAAGTACTTCTCATAATAATCGCATTTAATTCATTGCCATAAGATGTCATGATGGATGGATCAGTCTATTTCCATTTTGTTCTGTTTCTCACATTTTCCCGTTGTTGACCTGTTCCATCCCATTTCCTCATTAAGCAGCCTTTTTCAAAGAATTTGCACTAAAATATGATATAGTATTTTATGCTTTTCCTCCTACAACGCTCATGGTCATCTAATAAAGCTGAATGCTGTAAGGTTCAGGACAGATAAAAGAAAGTATATTTTCACACAGCGCATAGTTAATCTATGGAACTCACTCCCACAGGAGTAATGGCCACCAATTTGGATGGCTTTAAAAGAGGATTAGACAAAATCATGGAAGATAACTCTGACTTCACTGTTAAAGGCAGGCTGCCTCTGAATGCTAGTTGCTGGGAATTCTAAATGGAGAGAATTCTGTTGCACTCAGGTCCTCCTTCAGGCTTCCCACAGGCATCTGGTTGGCAAGAGTGAGAACAGGGGCTGGACCTGACGGACCATTGGCCTGTTCATCTGATCTGAGCTGGAAGGAACTGCCACAAAACTGGACCCAGAGTGCTAAACACACAGCTCCTGGTTTATACAGGCCATGTACGGTATTTGAGCTGTGGGTGACTGCTTCTGGTGTCTAGCCCAAAGACCTCAGTGACCAGGCAGGGATATCAGGTAGTTCCCAAGATATTCTAGACCCAAGCTGTTAAGGGCCTTGTAAATTAATGCAATAACTTTGATCTTGGTTTGATTGTACATGGGCAGCCCATGCAAACATTTAAGCTCTGGAGTAAGAAGCTGGTAATAAGTCTATCCCCATCACCAGCTGGAGCCTCTGGACCTGCCCCAAGGGTAGCCCAACACAGAGCACATTGCAATGATCAAGTCTTATCCAAACATCAGAAAAATACAATCAGATGGACAGTTGTAGCTATCTTGCACATTAATTGCATAGCCAAAGTGCAGATTGTGTCGAGGCCATATCTGTGGAAGGAGGAGCTGCTGGAAGAGAACTTGATGCTTACTACAAACTAGAGTATCTCTGCTCTACTTTCCTCCCAGTTCTATAATTCTGAATAATAATCTGATTTTCCTTTTTAATTCTATCCCAACCCTCTCGACTACAATCTTAAATTCATTTGAAAGATGTCAGACAATAGAGGCTAACACTACAGATTCATTCTGCAGGGCTCAGTGGGAGAAAATATTGCACTTTCCTGTCTTTTGTGTATCAGGCCATTTAGAATCTTTGCCAACAAAATTACGGAGCTATCATATTTTATTGACTACTTTGTGTCACACCTGGTTTGAATATAAATATTATAGAAGACACACTTAGCAGTAAATCCATTTGCAACTACAAACTTTGCCAACATCTGCGAAAACAACAACAATAAGAGTGCTTGGGATCCGTATAAATTATTAGGGGATGTAATTGTCATACAATGTAAAGGCTGAGATATGAATAACTCAGCTTTAAGTGAACTTGGTGTACCAATGCCACTCAGCTATAATACCCAATAAAACACACTGTTTTCTAATGTGTACTGCAGCTTAATAAAGTGACCTCTAAGTAAGCATCACTTTTGTGTTATGGTGGCACAAAGAAGTCGACCAGCTCTCTTTCGTACTAAACTAGCCATGATCACCCAACCAGAGTCAAGTACAAAAGACACAATGATTTAAATAAAGGATTGTGTGTCTCTGCTCAGAGCTTAGGAATTTGTTTTCTGTAACCAGAACTGAACTTTGCTCTCTGTCCTTCTACTCCCTGTTAGCTTTCTTTGTTTCACTGCCAAATTTAGGTAGGGAAAGTCATTTTGTTCTTGCTGTTGTTGAGCAATTTGGAGTCAGAAATCCTTGCCAACCTACTGCAAATCAACCCAGAGAACTACTGGTAGATCCTGATCAACATAAGAACACTAGAAAAGTCCCACTGGATCAAACCAATGGCCCACCAAGTCCAGCATGTGTTCTCACAGTGGCCAACCAGAGGCCTATGGGAAGCCCAGTAGCTGGACCCGGACACAAGAGCATTCTCCCAATCTGCAGTTTCCAGCAAATGGAATTCAGAAGCATACTTCCTCCACAAGGAAGAGCATGGCCATCATGGCTAATAACTACAGTGGTACCTCAGGTTAAGAACGGACCTCCAGAATGAATTAAGTTCTTAACCTGAGGTACCACTTTAGCTAATGTGGCCTCCCGCTGCTGCCACTGCGCGATTTTTGTTCTCATCCTGAAGCAAAGTTCTTAACCCGAGGTACTATTTCTGGGTTAGCGGAGTCTGTAACCTGAAGCATCTGTAACCTGAAGCATCTGTAACCCGAGGTGCCACTGTATTGATAGGCTTTACTCCATGAAATTTTGAGCCCATCTCTGCATTAAGGCACTTCAATAGGATGGGATCACACCATACTTCCTGGTGTTTTTGCCTCTGCAAAATATGCCACCTAACTGACCTGTGGCATGTTCTTCATGTAAGAAAGAGTGTTATGCTCAACTAAACATGGTTGCAAGCTTTTTCCAGACCTTTTTGTTCAACAAAGGGAGATTGGGATTTGGGCAGAGACACCCAGAGCACACGCTTACTTCCTCTCTCCAGTTTAAGCAAAGACTCATTCTTTTGAATGCTGGAATACAGTTTATATTCCCCTATATTCCCTATCTGTAGTTAGAAATGTCTCCACAGCTCAATTCAGCTGTCTTGATTACCTGAGCTGGGATGATAAAACACGAGATTATGGCTGTGAACTTCAAAAATTTCACCGGAACCAATATGGTTAAAGATCTCACATATCTGGACATTCAATTTTTGTGAAGTTTAAGCAACTTTAACCTTTCACTGTATTTTGTCCTTAATTTATAATTGCATGATTGTTGTAACAAAAAGATTTAGCCAAGATTGAAGTCTCTGCCTATCTAGAAGACTCAAATCTTACCATAAAAATTACTTTAATGTGTGTGTTTTCATTCTCATTTCTCTGATACTTAAAAAGAGGCAAACAAATTCTGCTTGAAGTGCATTGGACATGACACAAAAGACTCAGAACAGCTCCAAAGATGTTCAAATATGGAAATACATATTTTAACAATTTCTAAATTGTGCATTTTAACTGTAGCAAATTATTATGGTCTATTTAGCAGATATGATTGGATCATGTCTGTCTGTGAAATGGAGCTGTGACACTGTTAATATAGAAATGCAAGTGAACAACTGTGGTGCTGTATCTACACTTCGGTCAGCTCTCGAAATGTTAATAAGTGCTCAGCTTGGCTGATGTTTCTGAATATCCTTATTGCAGGGTCAATGAAGGCTTCTTGTTGTTGGTTTTAAATATGCACAATGGAATGTCAGAATTTGTTGAATTCTATATTGCCAATCAAGCTTGATGCATCAAACTGTGATCTTCAGTGTACATTCTGAACGCTCTATGCCCCTAACATTTCTAAAAGAGAAGTAGCTTTAATTTTTTAAAAAGCAATTAAAAGATGCATGTGTATCTATTAAAGAGGGGAAAAAGTGAACGGTTTTTAACAGCACTGCTGAAAAGCAGATTGGTATGTATATATTAGATGTATATTACACAGGAAAACATGGCATTCAGGAGAATGAAATGAAATGAGCCAGAAACTTCTCACATTTTCCTGGCATCTGTGGAGTGTCGCCATATGAGAACCATATGACTGCTGGCAGATTGGCATGTCAGCTCAAGCATGTACAACTTGACCTCACTGAGCTCTGTGTTTGTCAGTTTATAACAGGAATATTGATACAATTTTAACTGCAGTCTTTCTACACAAGAACTCTTTTATCCCTTTCCCAGTCTTCAGTCTCCTCTTTTCAGAGACTAGCGCCCTATTTTTCATTCATTGTCAAGGACTATAGAAGATTGTATAAAATGACTGTATTTAGTAAAAATGTGTCTAAAATCATGAATAAGATTAAGAATGCAATCATATCCATGTTCACTCAGTAGTCTGCCTAATTATATTCAATGGGGCTTCTTAGTCTTTAGGGCAGTGATGGGATGCTGTAGCCTTCCAGATGTTGCCAGGCTTCAGCTCGCAGCCAGCATGGCCAATGGTCTAGAATGATGGGAGAGGCAGTCCAATAACCTCTGGAGGGCCACAGGCTCCCATTCCCTTATTTGGGGGTAGGTTGGTGAACTGACTTGAAATATATTTGAGCTTGGCATTCATAGTTATATGACTGAGGATTAAGGACACGGTATGCATTAAAATTGTTTTGGTCAGTTATTAAAGGCTTTGTTTGTTCCATTATTTGTAATTTTTTGTTTCACATTTTCATAATTGTTTCAGTTTTAGTTATTTGTTTTTGTTTTACATTGCTTTCAGTTGGAAACCCAGCCAGTGTTCTGATGCCTGTAATTCTAATTTCCATTCAAATTGTGTGCAAATATCACACGTTCTACTAATTCTTCAAGGAATAAGACCTGCCAATTTCCAGACAGATAGGACAAAGGATCTCTATTTTATAGACAATTTACACATCCTTTAAGATCCCCTATTGATTTCTATGGGAGATTCGGTGGATCTTCTGTTACTTATAACTTCTGGATTTTACATCCCGTTGGCACAAACTTTTCCATCTTTCTACTAACATCTTTCTACTAAAAATGAGGCCGACCACATTTTTTAAAAAATCAAACCAATGTTGAAAGGTGCATAGACACAGCCTAATTGCCTTCTCTTTTCCTATAACCTTTCTGAAACATTTATACTATACCCTGCAAAGGCTATCCTAGCAGTGCTCCAATGGAAACAAACAAAAAATGAAGGGATTTTCATCTGGAACTCTGAGCTCATTACGGAAAGGAAAGGGTAAAATGTAATAAACAAGTAACATGACCCAGCTGAGATTAAAGTTTTATTTGTGATGGTGTATTTGCTCAGGCAGCTCACCCACTGAATACACAAAACAGCTCTACAAGGACTGAGTTAGAATGCTAACTGTTTGGGTGTGGCTGTATGGAAAACTAAGGTGGAGGGATGAATAGAATGGAATGGGGTATCATGAAAAAGGGCATAGCTGAGTGATGGGAATCCTGAATGCCACATTACAACATTTTGCTGTAGGTCCCACTTGTAAAAATGATGGTGTGTTGCTTTGCACTTCTTTTGTACTTGCTGGTCTACAGTAAAGAAGCAAATGAACTTGTGATTCAATGAGAGAACTATAAATCCCTTCAACTTTGGCTCTGACCCACTGAGAACAGAGTGCTTTTTATTTTTCATTTGTTTTGGCAGGTAAGAGTTGGAAAGCCAATCTCAAATCATGCTAAACCCAAGCCTTTTTAATTATATTGTCTGTATAATTCATGCAGTAGATGGACTTTCAATAAAATAGCAGTTGCAATGCATTTCATGCGGAGCAAGAATACAAAGCTAAGGCTCTCAGTTTCCTATGTGAATATTTCTGCTGAAAGAGACCCTCAAAAAGTAGGTGAAAAGGGAATGCCACATTAAGCCTTATTTCCCCTACCACTTCTTTCAGGAAAATTGATTTCTGAGTAGTTTTGTTGTTTATTTGCTTTTATATTAATATAGAAAGGGGCATCTTTAGAAACTGGAGTCCAGTTCTATGGCAACAGCAGAGTCTCTATGTTTTGATTTCTATGTTTGGGACCAGGGACTGGTTTTTGCTGAGGAAACACTTGGGTATCTCCTCCTAGAACTGCCAGTTCCCTGGTCCTCCAGGACTGTTACCTTAGTTAAAAGTAAAAATGCTTATAATTTTTTAAAATTCTAGCTAATTCTAATTTTAATTCTAATTCAACCTATCCAAAAATGAACTTGTTCCAGTTCTAGCTAATCCTTTTACAAAATGAATTAATTCAGTTCAAGTTCATCCTGGGACATTTCCTCCAGCATATAGAATGAAATAAATGAGGGCTTACACACAAGTAATAGGATGTCTGACAGAATATCAATAGGTGAAGTTTTCCCCATAATTGCATTTACACTCTAGAAAGGGCTTCCTTTGTTTAATGTTTGTCAGCCACACTGCTATTAAATGCACAATGCATCATTTGCTTTGTTCCAGTATCTGAATTCTGCAACCTGATACTATTGGAAGAGGGCAAATCCTATTCAGCAAAGAAGATACAGGAAATGCCTCACATTCCTCCCTTTTGATTGCTTAGCAACAGTGATTAAGTGACTAATCACCTTAGCAACTGTAGCACCTCCAATCTGTGCAATAAGCCTTAGAACATTGCCTCCACAGTTTGCTTTCTAACTTTCTTTGCAGAAGCCCAATTTACTTATTTACTTATTATTTTATTTTACGGAAAGCTAAAAGACCAGCTCTCCAACCCTCCTTCTAGGATGGGTATGAAAATGAACTAGAAATCTTTCAAAGTTCTACCCAAAACGAATTTAATTTACCTTTAGGTTACCAAGCAATTATGGGAACTACTTGCAGGCATAGTTTAGAGGTGTTTGAATTAGTTCAATGCAGTTTGTTCAACTGAAGAAGTTCATTCCAAGCACTGGGAAATGCTACAGAGTTCACTGCAAAGCAATTCTAAGCTCTGCCTGGTTGCAGTTGGGTGGATTGACTGATGCACCTGAAGTCTGTTGGCCTGTTCTGGCCAGAGCAGAAAGTGTTTTGCATCATGTTTTGCTATTCCAGCTCCAGGCTGGGGGATGGACCAGTTGACATTTCTACAGGTCCCATACATTTCTAGCTGGTGGCACATGAGGTTAGGATTGCACTTACTTGAAGGTAAATCTCATTTAATTCAGATGGATGAAATTCCAAATAAGGATGCATAAGAATGAATTCTTATAGAGCTATTATTTGCTCTTTTACCTAGAAATAAGAGTTATTGAACACAATGTGTCATACTTCCATGTAGTGCTTTTTGCCCCTAAAAAAATATTTAGGGGATACTCTCGTTTTCCTATTCATATTGAAATACTGCCCCTCAATGAGGCCAAACTTAGATTCACAAAATGTTTAGGGGTATGTGTACCCCTGTGTCCCCCCATAAAAAAGCACTGCTTTCATCGCTCAAAATTGCAGTGTTAGGATTTCCACAGTTGACTGGGATCCTCAACAGAACTTGATTAAATCACAGATCCACCAGCACCCCCCGCTTCATGCTGTCAGCGAACAGGATGTTTGTTCGTTAACAAGGATTTACTATAAACAGTCAAATGAAGTTTGCGCCTGGATTTTCATTTATTATCAAAATACACTGAGGTAAGACACTTGAAAGGTGTCTTAAACAGAAGGAAAGAGAAGCCATATTGTAGCATGTGGATCAATTTGAGGGAGAACAGCTTTCCATCTTGAGATGAAATAAGGGTGGCAGAGGAGGGGGAGAAGAGTACCTCCTTTTTCCCAAACACACTATGACAGATTACAAGGCCTGCAGCTGGAGTTAATCCAGATTTCTGTTTAATTAAATAGTAGCAGTCATTCTGCCATATTATATCAGAATGCACAAAGGTGATATGAAGGTGATATGCGACATATACATGCTCACCTCTTTATTTTCATTAGAAAGCAAAAAGGCTTTTGGTTCTAAAATGTAAAAAAGAAGAAAACACAGTGTATCCGTAACATGAATTTTTGTTTGCTCTATCCTGAAGATTTAAGACAGGTGACAAGACTGTCTCGACACGTGAATGTGATTTTATAGGATTGTTACTTAACATTCTTAAATGTGTTTCCTTGGAAGTGACTTCTTGTAGGCCACTTTATAAACTACTGAATGAAAATTAATGGAAGTATTCATCTTTCATTCATTAATAGTTACAGTATGTTAGGATGTGTAATGTGAAAAGCTGCTCTAACTAACTAAGCAATTACAATTACCTCTTGAACACTCAACTACTCATTCTACCATATTCTGTAAGAGTATTAATTATGCTCCCTCTCCCTTCTTGTTAGTCGCATGGAATGTGAATTGGATCTTGCAGAGCAACCTGGCCACTTACAGCATGCTTTCAAGTGATCCACAGCACCTTTCTGAGATTTCGGACATTGAACCTCTGACATCTGCTGCACCAGGGCATTGGAAGAAACAGTGAAGAAAGAGGCGGCAACAGATATCCTTCTCCAGTATCCTCTTAGGGACTCTGGGACATCCAATCTGCCTTAAAGCCCCTGAGATATTCCCCCCTCGCCAGACCACAGGCCTGCACCCTTAAAAGTCATACTAATTCTTTACACGGATTTGGGTTTGAGCAACATATTGATTTCTCTCTGAATTCAAAGTTTTACTTCACTCTGCTGTGACAAGCTCTGGTAATTATGAGGAATGAAAGCAGCACAATTTAAAAAGCAAACAAGTACCATATTTTTCACTGTATAGGACGCACCCGACCATAGGACGCACCTTGTTTTAGAGGGGGAGAACAAGGGAAAAAAATCTCCCCTTCTCTGCGCAGCGCCCCTTCAGCGAAGTGGCAGGAGAAACAGAGCCCCTTCCATTTCTCCTCCCGCTTAGCTGAAGGGGCGCTGCGCCTTAGCTGAAGGGGCACCTACCCTTCAGCGAAAGGAACCCGAAGCCTCCGGAGCACAGCGGGAGCTCCCGCTGTGCTCCAGAGGCTTCAGGCAGCTATCTTTGAAGCCTGGAGAGCGAGAGGGGTCAGAGTGCACTGACCCCTCTCGCTCTCCAGGCTTCAGTGAAGGCAACCCGAAGCCTCCAGAGCATGGCGGGAGCGCTCCTACTGTGCTTCGGAGGCTTCGCATTGCTATTGCTGAAGCCAAGGAGCCTGCATTCACTCCATAAGACGCACACACATTTCCCCTTAAATTTTGGAGGGGAAAATGTGCGTCTTATAGAGCGAAAAATATGGTATTTATACAACTTCAAGTCAGGATGAAGTTTGGATGACAGGCTGACTTTTAAACACTTGATACGCCGGGGGGGGGGGGACTCCTCTAGGGCACAGCATGCCAATTCTTCTAGCAGATGTCATTTATCAGTATTTGAACTGGTTATAAAGTGAGTACATTTAAAAATATGAATGGAAGGATAATGTTTATCACCTGTCCTGCCTAACTCTTCTAAATAATACAGCTCTTAAAAATAAGCTACTTCATCCATCAGTTCTGACTGCCATTTCATACTTGGGGTTCTGTGTACCTGTGTGTGAAAACAACATACCTTTGAAGAGAGCCAGCAGAGGTCACTCGACCAGCTAGAGTTGAAAGATTAAATAACATGTCTTTGCTAAATTCTGCTGGGCACTTTGTCATTTTAATAACACTTTCATTCCAGAAAGTTTCAGCAGCTACAGTCATGATGCTTAATTGCTCTCATTTATCTCTCTAATAAATGATGTCATTGACTTAGTGCGGTTGTAGGGAGACAATTGGCAAGCCAATATGTAAATCTGCTACATTTAACCATGGAAACCAACAGTGAATGCACAGACCTATGGAAAAGAGCAAGTGCCTTTAAATAGGAGCAAAGCTGTTTTCACTTAAACCATCCGAGTTTGCTGTAAAACATTTATACCATGCCATGTTCATGCATCTCTTACAAATTATAATAAACCCAAAGAGATGGAGACACAACTGGGGTTTTTGCGTGTGTGTGTGTGTGTGTGTGTGTGTGAGTAGAAAAGCTATGCTGGGGTATCACTGGTGGGACTTCATTGACATTTCAGAAAGGGGAACCATCCTCTAAAGATTAGCTCTGCAAATTGGACTATCCCAAATTCAACATTTCCTTCTTCAGAACCCAAGTTCAGCCATGGCTGGCTCTTAAGTTCAAAGGGGCCTTGGAATGGAACTGTCTGCTGAGTCTTCCTATATAGCTGGGACCCACCACCAGTCAATGGGCAGTGAGCACCCCTTCCTACTATTTATTTCTGCTGGGCTTGGGTGGCTGGCCAGAGGAAGTGGAAGAGAGTGGCAGCAATAGCAGCATGTGACTACCATTGCAATTCCCACATCAGTGCGATGAGAAATGGAGAACAAATATAACAGTGGCGGCTTGGTGCACAGCACAGCATTGGAAAAGGAGGTCAAGGGCAGTGGTGGACCATTCACATAATAATAATAATAATAATAATAATAATAATAATAATAATAATTTATTATTTATACCCCGCCCATCTGGCTGGGTTTCCCCAGCAACTCTGGGCGGCTTCCAACAAAATATTAAAATACAATAACCTATTAAACATTAAAAGCTTCCCTAAACAGGGCTGCCTTCAGATGTCTTCTAAAAGTCTGGTAGTTGTTTTTCTCTTTGACATCTGGTGGGAGGGCGTTCCACAGGGCGGATGCCACTACCAAGAAGGCCCTCTCCCTGGTTCTCTGTAACTTGGCTTCTCACAGCGAGGGGACCGCCAGAAGGCCCTCGGCACTGGACCTGTGTGTCCGGACAGAACGATGGGGGTGGAGATGCTCCTTCAGGTATACTGGACCAAGGCCATTTAGAGCTTTAAAGGTCAGCACCAACACTTTGAATTGTGCTCAGAAACGTACTGGGAGCCAGTGTAGGTCTTTCAAGACTGGTGTTATGTGGTCTCGGCGGCCGCTACCAGTCACCAGTCTAGCTGTCACATTCTGGATTAGTTGTAGTTTCTGGGTCACCTTCAAAGGTAGCCCCACATAGTGGTGCTTCAGGTTAAGGACAGTTTCAGGTTAAGAACAGACCTCCGGAACGAATTAAGTATGTAACCAGAGGTACCACTGTAAATAAAATGGAGGGGAGTGGGTGTTACTGCAAACAAATGCACAAATCACACACAAACTCTCTCACATGCTCTTTGGCAAATCAGTGAAAAATAAGGAAGAACAGACAGCTCTAACTGCAGCAAGATGGCGGCCTGCTTTGCTCTGAGAATGTGCTGCCCAGGAAAGAAACTTCATTCTGATTGGCTGTGGAAGGCCATAGCCCTGTTAGTTCAACATGCCCCTTTGTGTTAATCCCAGTGCAATAGGGCTGAGAAGCAAAACTGCCAGTTTGGAGGTTCAGTTGCCCTAGGAAAATGCTAATGTGTTCTACTTATGTGAGGTCTTTCATTTGTTTCTTCCTTGCTGGAGACAGCAGGTGGAACAACTGCCATATCAATGGGATCAAAAGAGTGGATCGATTGACTTCAGAAGATGGACAAAAACCAGCTGGAGAGTGATGACTCTGCTCTCAGTAACTGAATTGGAAGGATGGGAGCGATGTGGATGACAAGAAACAGGACACTGAATTATTCCATAGCAGTGCCCTAGTCACTGGGTTGAAAGACCGCCCTGGCCCACCTGCAAGCACTATAGAATTGAGGGATTTAAAAAAGTTGACCAGCCTAAAACAGTTCAGAAAGTCCCCAGATACCTAATTAGAGCATTTAGCTTGATACCTTTGCCAGTTCAGTTCAGGTCTAAGTGACTTGCACTTCAGGAAAATAGAAAGCTATGTTATTGGTTCATGTAGCTCAGTATTGCCTACACGGACTGGCAGCAGTTCTCCAGGGTTTCATAGAATCATAGAATTGTACCCCCTGCAATGCAGGAATCTCAACAAAAGCATATATGACAGATATCCATCCTCTGCTTAAAAACCTCCAAAGTAGTCCACCACCTCCTGAGGGAGTCTGTTCCACTGTTCAACAGCTCTTACTATCAAAAAGTTATTCCTGATGTTTAGTCGGAATCTCCTTTCTTGTAATTTGAATCCATTGGTTCAGGTCATACCCTCCAGAACAGGAGTAAAACCAGCTTCCTCCTCCATGTGACAGCCCTTTAGATATTTGAAATGACTATCATATCACCTCTCAGTCTCCTCTTTTCTGGGCTAAACATTCCCAGTTCCTTCAACCATTCCTCATAGGGCTTGGTTTCCAGACCCTTGGTAACCATCTTGATCACCCTCCTCTGCATACATTTCAGATGGGTGATATTCCTAGCCTGGTGATGCTAGGGATTGAAACCAGGACGTTCTGCTCTACCACTGAGTAATGGTCCTTCCCAACTCTAGTTAACATCCCCCCCCCACTAAAAATGTGTTACACTTAAATATCCTGGATGACTGCCTAGTACTGGATAAAATTACTGTTGCAAGTGTTAACAATTAAGGCTTTTTTTAAAAGATAATCTGCTGTAGAAGGTAATGTTACTTTAAGGTTACAAATTATTCATGGATATATTTTCATTTTACTTTTCTGTTATGGAAATTGTAATAACTTAGGGGCTGAAATGACATCGCATTTCCAGACAATGTGAGAAACTATTTATACTGTTTGTGAATTGGCACCATTGAAATATTTCTTCTCTATACTGTATTCACAATATATCAGCCTAATCCACAAGCAATTTGAGACAAAGTGTTTGGATTTCAGCAGAACTGACTTCAGTTAAACTAAAATGCCTTAGCCGAGTTAGTGGGGAGGCTGAGAGACTGTGGAGGAGGACCAAATGTCTCATAGATGTCCCCATACAAGCTGTCTGTGCTGCCTGTTTTTCCAAAGTATATTCTGAGACTGTTTGACTGCAAATAAAGTGGACTTAAAACAATTGGGTTTGGGAACAAAATTGAACTCTGCAGGTTGTCAAGATTTTCAGAGAATTAGTGCACCCGAAGTCAAAGGCAAATCTGCCCTTGACTTCAATGTAAACAGCATTTTCCTTCAGACTGTAGCCCCTTTTAACCATTTCCACATGTTCAATAAATGAAGGCGGGAAGTGGCCTCACTGGCCCTGATCCAGATCTCTACGCATTAACTAAAATGTATGAAAGAGGCCTAAAGGTAAAGGTAAAGGGACCCCTGACCATTAGGTCCAGTCGTGACCGCCTCTGGGGTTGCGGCGCTCATCTCGCTTTATTGGCCAAGGGAGCCGGTGTACAGCTTCTGGCTCATGTGACCAGCATGACTAAGCCACTTCTGGCGAACCAGAGCAGCACACGGAAACGTCGTTTACCTTCCCGCCAGAGTGGTACCTATTTATCTACTTGCACTTTGACGTGCTTTTGAACTGCTAGGTTGGCAGGAGCAGGGACCAAGCAATGGGAGCTCACCCCGTTGCAGGGATTTGAACTGCCGACCTTCTGATCGGCAAGCCCTAGGCACTGTGGTTTAAC